GGACCATGAACGACAATGTTTCCTGAGAATCCATGGAATAGATGTTAAGATATTAGATAAACAAAAAAGAAAGCCTGCAATAATGTGGATTACATTACAACCATCATCGTGCAGAGCAAAAACTTGGCGGGACATCTAATATGAGTCCAATATCCAAGAACACAATGATGAAGTGAGCATCTGTAATGAAGACACTGATGATCCCATCTGCTTCATTAAACTTCCATTCAATGAGCATACCGTATATTTTCCCCTGAATTCAAACCACATGGATTGTGTCTCATATTTTTTTGGCAAGTAAAAGATTATAAAGCTGCCGACATTAAGTAAAGTAATCACGCTTCTGCTCCAAAACATAAGTGACGCGATGCGGAAGCCCCAATCCGTGCAAAGAATGAGATGAACCGGCCATAGATTCACTGGCAGAATTGGACAAATATGTGGGCTAATAGTTATTATATGCTTACAATCAATTTCAACAAGATAAAAATATTTGGAAAACCAATCCTGAAAAGCATCTGTTATTGTTCACAATGCAGGACTCTATATATGAATCCCAAAATGTTTAAACAATAACAGTTATTCATCACATTTACTGTCCCTTGATATGAATATGTGGTTTCAAGGTTGATCACAAATCGAACTGTGGACGCATTTCAAGTGAAATCATATTCTGTCTGGAGACCCGCCTCCAACTGAGCATGTGCACTGATGTCATTTCACTCCACCTGTGTCTTGTTACATGGAGGAGCGGCGTTGTCCTCGCGCCGCCCGATCACATCAACAAACGCAACAGATTATTAAAAATTAAAAATTAATATTAAAAATATTAAAAATCAACAAAGCAGAAACTTTAACGAAGACATCATCCCGAACCGTCGCAGCTGACGCTTCTAATGAAGTGACAAAAAAGAAGAAGAAAAGACGCGCTATTGTCTGCCAACATGAGGATTGTAGGACATGAAACGGCTGCCAGAGGCGTCTTCACACAGACGCACCATAGCAGAGATAAACATCTCCCAACCACTCATTAGGCTAATAAAGCCCGGTGGATAACCGGAGGCCTTGGATGACAGAGCAGCAGTCACTTACAGCTCTCCACGATCAAAGTTAAGAGGGCTGTGTTTGTCTGTGTGTTGGAGGGGGGGGGGGGGCACAGTCTGCCCCACTGTACAGTCTGCCTAGTAATCAGGGGTTCCCATGCACTAGACAGTCAACACAGCTGCCGGCAGGAGAGCAGGGAGTGGAGGATCACTGGCTGGTTACTGGCAGACTTGTTTGAGTCAGCAAGCTAATGAGCATTAGGACCAACCACCAAATCCTTCATGAAGGCTTTTTAAAAAATATATTTGATTTCCCTCTCGCCACCTTCTTTTGGTTGTTTAATCAGTCATTTGGTATGTGTTGTGTTTATTTGCCCCGTCCGTTGTTCCACTGTTGAATGAATCCATCTGAGAATGATGGTTTGAACGAGTTGGAAAAGAAGAAATCCAAGTCACTTTATCAGTCACGATCAGGGGAGAACGGATTACATTAGTTTCTAAATCAACATGTGGACATTGTTATTTTTTTTTAATGGGATAATGATGTACTTTTTTTGTTGGTTCGTTGTCGTTTATTCGTGTTGCTTCAGATATCAAGTGATACATTAAATAGAATTGTGTAAATCTAGTGTGAGTAACAGATCCATGGGTTTTGGGGCTTTTCACATGCCAGAACACTGCAATAACAATAATAATGTTGGGGGAGTGGCTTTGGAGTGAGGCCTGATGGGTCATGGCTCAGTGTTGATGACTTGGAGACTCTCTTGCTAGATGTAGCAACTTTTGGAGCTAGTGCTGCTCGCTGCTGGGCCGGGTGTTTAGGTTGGATCATCAAAAGAATCTAGCGAACTCTTGCTAGCCTAGCTTTAACGTTAGTACCGTAGATCTGAGTCAATAGACCCAAAGTGTTGTTTTTGTCTTTTTTTTTGGGGGGGGGGCTACTGTAAAAACTTCTTGAATACAAATAAACCTAATCTAAGATTTCAATCTTACTGCAAAGGGTTGTAGCCCAAAAAGGTAATGGTTAGTCACTTGGACTCATGAGGAGCATTTAACATTGCATTGAGTAAAGTTAATAATTCGACTAATGGTATAATTTGTTGATCACAGTTACTTTTTAGATCTTTCACCAACTACCTCAAATTACTTCCCTCGTGCAACCGCCGCTTTATTCCCCTGTAATTTCGGTCTACTTGATTATGACCACAATTTCCTGTAGGAAATGATGACACTCGAAGGAGGGAACACATGCGGAGGAAAAGTCACAACGTCGCCAAAAAAACAAATAATTAACCATTATTATTTGCAGATTTCCACTTTATGACCTGGCTTACACGGAGCTGGCCCCGGAATAAGGTCAGTGTTTACTTGGGCTCCAGAAAGCTTCTCAAAACGGTTGTGCAGTCCGTTAGAAAGGGAGAGAAGCTGGGCTGGGCAGCGCCGAGGCCTGCAGCCGGGCAGGATCAACTACAGACACTGTCCGTGTTACAAAGCAGCCACAGCTGCTCCATTCTAGCTGCTATCAAAACGCAGCAATGATTACACACACACACACACACACACACACACACACACACACACACACACATGATGAACGCACACATTAATAAATGAAGGCAGGCACGCCTACATTAAGCATTTACACAAGTGCACGCACGACAAGGTGCACGAAAGGGAACGAAACACGAACAAATCCCTGTAAAGTGAATGCATCTATGCTATGCATAGCTGCACATGCATGTACTCACCAACGCACCCCCCCCCCCCTCCCACACACACACACACACACACACACACAAACACACACACACCGCTGTGCATGTGTTCCCTCCTTAACATGACAAGGCAGCCAATGTAAAGGAATGAGGAGGGAGGACAGACTGGCGTCCAACTTGAACCCGCTGAGGCTCTGAACAGAGAGAGTTGTTGAGCTGACTGACGCGGCCCTGAAAGCCTTTCAGCAGGTCAGGTCACAGAGAGCCGAGAGACGGATTGAGTGAGTGTGAGAGAGAAATGTGTGTGTGTGTGTGTGTGTGTGTGTGTGTGTGATCACTTGTGCATGCCAGGCTGCACCGCTGATTTTAGAGTTCAGATTTATACTTCAACATGAAATCATGTGTTGGGAGGAGGTAAAGGGAACTGTTGATACTATTTTTCTTGGTGGGGATAATTTGTGAACAGTCACACTCTATCGCACGCGGCTGCGACCACAAATCATCCAACAAGCGGGTTTGGAGAGTAAAACGACCCTGGATTGACCCCAGATTTGTGTTAAAACGTGGCTTTGAGATAGATGCATGCTCCCCCCCCCCTCCGATACGGTCTACTTCTTCCTGGAATATGAATGCATCGTAGAGGTCTGTGAGCCGTGTGTAAACACCTTCACCCCTCGCTCACTGACCCAGCTGTAGCGAGGTGGAGAACAAACATCCTCACCTTTTACCGGAGGCTTGTCTGGACTCGCCAGACAGAGGCGTGGGGGGGGGGGGGGGGGGTTCCTAACTCTCTCCCATGTTTTCCTTGT